AAGTGAAATAATCTGCCAATGAAACAAGTATTTTATCATTAAGATTCAGGAATTATTTACTTAAAACAAGCTCCTCTATCTTGCTGTAAAGTTACTGGAAGTTAGTTTTCTATAATATTCTATAAGACGTTTGCTCTAGTCTAGAAATTGGATAAAATACTTGATGGGATTTTGTGTTTTTGCAGTGTACAAAAACTCTAAAATAATGAAAAGAAAAAACTAATTTAGTAATTTCACTGTGCTCGTTGGGAGGATTTGCATCAGAGTTCATCATTCTGGACACCCCACTACTTTTCCCCCATACTCTTTGTATTTAATTTCCTGCTTATCCTCTAACATGAGTTTTGTCTTGTTTCAAGATATTTGCACTGGAAAGTAGGCGAAAATACTTGGTAAGATTTTATGTTTTTGCAATGTATGGCTGTAAAACAGAAAGATTTTCTTCCAAAGGTAGAGGATAAACTCCTTTAAAGCTTTGTGTGGTCCAAAACAAAACACATTCACACACAACAAGGACTCCTTGACAGGAGTGTACTCAGATATTTGCACTAAAAACTAGACAAAAATGGTTGGTAAGAGTTTGTGTTTTTGTAGCATAATCAAGTTAAACTATATTTTACCACTTGTTTTTGCTTGGTGCATACCAGTTCATTGCTTATTTTAAACGCTTTATCACATGAGTTTGGTTTATTTTTGCCACTTCCATCTCTCGTGTCTTTGCACAGACCATGATAGCGTTGTGACATCACCTGATGGTGGCATTTTAGGAACTCACCAAGCTGCAGCTCGTGGTTGGTTTCACACAGACTCCAGTCTACGTTGCAGTCACAATGAGTCTTCTCAAACAAGTTGTCCAGAACCTCCCTCACGGTTTGCCTCTCATCAACCATCAGAGTCTTGGAGCTGCCATCGTTCATGACCACCTTCACCACCAGCTGTCAAAAACGAAAATGTTTAATTTGCTACAGCTAAGTCAAAGCTAAGCTATAGCCAGGCTTCAAACAAACATCATGTTTTTTACCATCAGTATTGAAAATCTATGGTAAACCAGAGAGGTCAACAAAATGCAAAAGCCACAATGGAAATTATGCTAAAAAGGAAGTTATGCTAAAATGTGAGTTACATTAGCAAGTTTATTGTATTTTACCTTTTAGTATAAATTCAGTTTTACCACAACTTCCATTTGATCATATGCTAAGATGAAACTTATGCTAAAATTAAAGTTATGCTGAAATGGAAGCTATCCCATAACTACAGCTTTAGCATAGCTTCCATTTTAACATTATGTCTCATGTAGCATTAGCTTCCATTGTAGTATGGCTTCTATTTCAGGATAATTTCTGTTTTAGCATTATTTCTGTTATAGCATTAGCTTCTGTGGTAGCATAGCTTTCATTTTAGGATAATTGTCATTTTAGCATAGCTTCCATTTTTAGCATGGCTTCTGTTTTAGCATTTCAGTATAACTTCCACTGTGGCATTTTAGCATAACCTCTGTTTTAGCATAGCTTCCATTTTAGCATAACCTCTGTTTTAGCATAGCTTCCATTTTAGCATAGCTCCCATTTTAGGATAACTTCCACAGTGGCTTTTGTTGTTGGCCCTGTTGGGCCACCGTAATTTTTGCTACAATGTACTGTTGCCAGTGGTAGACAGGTGATTAATACCACTACTGATTGTTTTTGGTTTTACATCACTCCAAGTCAGCCACACTGGCACCAGACACGCTGACTAGTCAAAGAAATAATCAGCATTTCTGTGGATTGGTGCTTTTTTTTTTTTTTACCATGAAATAAATGTAATTTCCTACCCGCTTGCTGCAAGGTATTCTAAATACGAGGTCTGACTAAATACGATAGAAGCATGTTTAATATCTGCTGATATACATTTACATGTTCATTTTGTAGACTAAAGGTCTCAGCTATAATGTGGACAGCAGCAGACTCCCTAAGTAAGACTAAATCCAACCTTTAAGTACATGCAGCTTGTTGACCAGTTTAATAACATGTTATGTACCCAAATGATTGTTTCTGCTTCATAATGTTAGCTTTAATAAAACTTGGGAGCATCAGCACTTCAGTAATTCCAGTCAAATGTCTGCATGTAATTTTAGGTCCTCAGACAGAACGCTGACTGGGATTTATTTTTATCTAGGCCAGAGAATTGACACTTCCTGCCATATGGAAAGAAGTCCATTTCTGGAAGACTGAGGACTGTTGTCATACACATATTGGCTTTTGTAGATTTTATCAAGTTTAAGATTAATAAGATCCCAGTTTGCTTGGGTTTTTCAATCTGTACCAAAATACAGCCTCACCATGTGGTTGAATAATATCCTATATCACAAACATTCTCAGAGACGAGGGTTTGTATCTAAAACTGAAAAAAGACCAGACCACAGAAAGATCTGCGAGAAACTACTGAAAAATTGTGTCTGGATTTCTATTGTTCATGCAAAACTAGCAATGCTAGGCTTCCTTAGTTTGAGACCCAACCGTGTCCAAGTTCCAACCAGTGGGCTCAAAAGATTGGATAAAATGACTGTTAGTAGTCTTTGTCAGTTTACTAACAAAGTCTGCAATAAACCAGACACAGTTGGAACATCAAGGAATGGGAAGGAGCCAACAAACTTTCCAGCTGTGTTGGTGACCAAATCAAATGTCTTTGCAGAAGAGGCAAAGATTAAACCATTTTCCCACAACGATAAGAGGAATATTTGAATAAATCTCCTTTCAAACATGTGAATATTGTACAGTTTGAACCTTGAAGTTTGGTGGTAGCAGCATTGGTTTGCTGAGGGATAAATCTGAATTTCTGACCACAGAAACATCTGCTGAAGCCACTGGAAATACATCAAAACTGAGGCTTATATGTGCCTATAAAAGTGGACATGCTGAATTTATTGAGCTTCCATGTGGAAGTAGATGAAAAGTAGCCAAAAGTCAATAGATAACGTTTAAATTATCTCAAGACAGCATTGAAACTATAGCAAGTGGATAGCTTTGTCAGGTCAAATACTTAGGCTTTACTTTTGTCCGATGCACAGCTTTACATCCAAGACTCTGTTTTGGTGCTTTTGTGCCACTTTGAAGATGATTAAGTGTCCATGTACAGAATGATCCAGAGCAGGATGCTGGCTACCCATCTATTAATGTGATTGATGGCTCCTCTGTCAGGCCAGAAGGAGAGGAAACTACTACATGCTGTGTTGGAACAGAAGGCATTTTCCGTCCTCCATAACTCTCTGCATCTTTAATGCAGCTCAGTCAGATCAGAGCAGAATATGTGGAGTTGAAGTTTACATGTCTTACCTTTTTCACTTTGGCTTCCTTTAGCTTCTCCAGAGCAAGCTTGATTTTATCGGCCTTCATCTGAGCTTCAATTTCTTCCTAAACAGGAAAAACAACAAATAGAGGAACTGAGTTAGTAGATGTTTTTTCTGATTTAAACAACACTTGATAAATAGTTGAGGGAAGATACTCTCCCTTTGTTAGCTCTTCCCTTTTTTGACCTACAAACACCATATTACAAATCAGATTTATTGGCTCGTGTTCTGGTATGGGGTGGTGTGGTTTACGATGTAGCCACATCTTAGATTCATTGTTGAGCTTCATTAGAGTAAGATCGGACAGACTGCTGCTCAAAGTAGGTGAGAGTGTTTAGAGTAAACAAAAGTGCCACAGAGTAGGAGAAATGTATGACACAAGATACTGAAGACTACAAATTAAAATTATGCTGCAGAGCTGAAAATAAGCATAATTAGTAGGGCCCAAATGTCATGTTTAACTCATTTTGTGACCGCATTATTAATTTAGTAGTTTGCAAAAAATTGTATCTCCAAATATGTTTTCTAGCTGCCTATGAAACTTTGGTAAAAGTCTCCAATTAAAAACCGTGTACTGTGTAAAACTTTGCAATCATAACTTGTTTATTTACATTTTCCTCCCAACCAGATGTATTTTTCTGCTGCAGGTTGAAGCAGTTTCATAAAACAATTCTTCACACTTTTCTTTTAGAGTTTTTTTTAGACTTTTCTTGCTTTTTCAGCCATTTTTATCCAGAAATTCATCCCTCATTTCCTCATATCTGTTAATTTGCCATGTAATTACATGGTTAATTTTGGTTCTGACATCTTTTCTTTTTATCTTTCTGTTAACATTCTCATTATTTCTCGTGCTATCTTTGTCTGGTATCGTAACTAGCTGGAAAATGACTGAAAAAGTCCCAAAGAAACAAGGTGGAAAACTTCAGAAAGCTTTTTAATCAAGAAAACTATACTGATGAGGAAAATATTAAAGCTGCAGTACGCAAATTCTGTTTGATAAAAAAAGTTTGTTTATTTTGTTAAAACTGTCACCATATTGTGACAATGTAATACAGCACAGGCAATCTGTGAAAAAATAAATCTCCCCCTCCTCTTCCCTGAGCTACTATTTCCGTCTTAAGAAATGCAATAGGAGCCACGAGGAGGGTCTGAGCGCTGTCAATAATCTTTGTGAATGCGTTGCTAAACAGGCCAATGGCAGAGAAGCACTTACCATTACAGAAAAACCGTTTGTCATCAAGAGAAATGATAACTAGCAATGTGTAAAGAAAATATTTTTTACAAAAGTTGCATACTGCAGCTTTAAGGTTTGGCTTTCCTATCAGAAAGGTAAGTATGCTTAGATATTCCAGAATCCAGTTAGGGTTTTTGCTTCCAGTATTGCCAGTTTCCAATACCAGGAGTATTCTTCACATTGATAGTAACGCCAACACTGTACCTTTTAAGGTTATAAAGCTAACCTGTACACATCTCGCCTACCAATGACGCACACTTTTGCCACAGCTGGTGTTTTGACCACAGTAAGATGAGGTCAGGAGCTCTGTTAAAGCAATAAGCTCCGGTCTACATTACCTACCCAGACCATCCAAAGACTGACACTATTTTACCTCCTCTAAACCCCCTGATCCTGTTACAGTTTTCACATGGTTGTATGTGTTTGATCTGTTCCAGACAGGCCCTCGACTGTTTCTCCTCACGCGTCTCTCTGACTCCAACAGATGGATCTAGTTATCTGTGACCTCACTGTCCGACTGCTAAAAGACCTGAACCACTCTTTTTGAGTTTCACAGAGACAGAAAGAAAAAAAAATAAATAAGTCATCTGAAATTTACACAAAGGGAACAGCCTTGTCAGAGGTGGGATGATTAAACTACAAAGCACAGAACTAAGTATAATTATTATTGTGGTTAAATACATTCAGGCAGTAAATGAGGTTTACCAATTTGTGAGAGAGGCCAGAAATATCAAAAGCCAAGAAGTAATGTGGTGAAGTACACATTTTAAAATATAGGACTATATTTTAGAAAATCTGTGTTACAAATTCCTTTGTTTGTTTAGGTCAATGCTGAACTTAGTCTTTTACATCAGGCACCTTGTTGGGCAGCTAAGGGGCCTTCAGGAATATATATATATTGAGCCGTTAGCGGCAGTTATTCTTCAGTTACATTAACGGCTATCTACCTTTGCGCTCCGGTAACGGTTGGTAATTATCCTTTCAATATGAAGCGCCGTATTTCAGCGCTAATTTTAGCTAACCCTGTTTAATTCTGGCTTTTAAATGACTGAAGTTGTATGTTGAAATTGAATAACTGAAACACAACCATTCAAAACCTCAAATTAACATGATGAGTTTATGTAACCTTCTCACCATTACATCGGTGATTAACTAGTTTATAGTAACTAGTTACATTTACTCAATTACATTTAGTTGAGTAACTTTTTTTTTTTAGAAAAAATGTACTTTCAGGAGTATTTTACTATTCTGTACTTTATTTTTTACTTTTGCTTGAGTAATCTTATGAAGTATTTTACTATTGAGTAAATTTCTGGATTTTCTACCCACTGATGAAAAACAAAGATGTTTTAACCAAAAATTCACCAAACAGACACACACCTGCAGTTTTTTATTTAACTTTTATATTGAAAGAAACTGATCTGGAAAAATTTTTCTTTTGCCTGATTTTGTTGTTTTTTTGTTACTTATATGAATTATTGTGATTTTTGTCCTTAAAATACAAAAATTTCCACTTTATATTTATAACTTTATATTTTTAGCCCATCTGATGATGTAATTTTAAATATTAAATGATTGATAACTTGATCAGTTACTCAATACTTGAGTAGACTTTTTACCAAATGCTTTTTTACTCTTCAGTCATTTTTGGATACTTTTTACTTTTACTTGAGTAATAATACATTGAAGTAGTTCTACTTTTACTTGAGTGCAATTTTTGGGAACTCCACCCACATGTGGTGATGAGTGAACTGAAAAAATATTTTTTCCACATTGGTGTTTAGCCTTGTATTGTCCATCTAAAGAGTAAACTCCTCCAAATGTTTGTTACCTTCATTCAAACTCTCACTTCTTTTAAAATCTGAACCTCCAGAGGAGAAAAGGTGGTTGGAATTGATGTCTAGATGACAGTGACCTTTTCTAGAGAGAGGAGCCGTACCATTGTGGGTTTTGATGACTGCGGAAGCGGCAGGGGCGAGGAGGTGGAGGAAGATGGGGTGGTGACACTGCTGCTTCTGTTATTTCCTGGAGACGGTGGTGATGTAATGGAGGAGGCAGGCTGGACGCCCAGGCCTTTGGGCGGAGGCGGCAGGTCTGATGAAGATGACGGTGGCGCGTTCAGCCCTTGGATTTCTGCTTCTAGTTTCTTTTCTGTCTCACTGAGGTCGGCCACAAGGTCGGCCATCAGGGCGTCCAAGTCATTGTCCTCCAGGTCTTGTATTGACGCTGGTGGAGCAGAATCAAAGCATCAAGATGTAATTCAAATGTTTTATGGTCCTTTCATGACCACTTAAACTGAGACTGGCTCTTATTAGATTTCAGGAACATTGTAAATGGGAAGTTTGCTTCAGTTTTAACACTTTTTATCTTCCTTCTTCACAGAAAAAATCCCACAGAAGTTTGCTGATGCACAATGTCTTCATGCATTATTTTACTTTCACATGCTCTATTTAGTTTTACTTCCACTCCTGAACCTCAAAGCCTAAAAAAAATCAAATTATGATTCAGGACTGATGAAATACCAAGTATTGGTAATCATCACTGTCACTTATTAAACATTGGTATTCAAAAATTTGCCTCCAACCTAAAAACTGATGATAATTTGGAAGATTAAATCTTTTCTATTTTTATTTAGCATCACCATCAACTGCTTACTGTAAAGGCCTCATACTGTAGCCGTCATCCAGCAAAAATATTTATGTAAATTTAAATCAATTTAGCCTTTTTAGCAGCAAATATCAACTTCAAGAAAAATTTAAGGCCTTTAAAAGTCATCTGCAAACTTATTTTATGCGCTTAGTTTTAGCAGAGCTTACATACTGCATAAAGCAACATGAATTTGTTTCCCATTTTCTGACACTAAATTAGTCGAAATATGAGATATTTTTTAAAATGACCTATTTCAATTTCATCCCATTATTCTGTGGATCTTTGTAAGCACAAATCTAACAATTAAGGCTTTTATGAAGTTGATAATGGTTGAACACATGCTTAGGCTTGTCACAATAATCAATAAATCAATTAATCACATGATAAATTAAAACAAACTCATGGCATGATTTATCATTTATCTCTTTTTTTCTCTTTTACCAAAATCTGGATGATAAAAGTCTTCAGTCTCAACTAGACCTTTTTTTGAAGGACAGTTTTGTTTAAAAAAACTTCAAAGTTAATTTTATTTGTCATTTTGTTTATTTATTTTGGATATTTAAAATGTCTTCCAGTTAGAGCAGGGGTGGCCAAGTCCAGTCCTCGAGAGCTGCCATCCTGCAAGTTTCAGATGCATCCCTGCTTCAACACACCTGAATCAAATGACTGGCTCGTTATCAGGCCTCTGTAGAGCTGATCCCGGTCTGTTGGAGTAAGGATACTTCTAAAACTTGCAGGATGGTGGCTCTCGAGGACTGGACTTGGCCACCCCTGAGTTAGAGTGTTAAATGTTCATTAGAATTTAAAGCTTACTGATCTCTCAGAATGTGTATCTATATTTTATATCCTGAATTTTTGCACTCTTGGATTTTGATAAAACATTAAAACATTAGTTAAAGGGTCAGTTTAGTCCTACTTAGCTTACTTAAAGCAACAAAAGGCTAACAAGTTGTTACAAAAACTAAGGCTGACTTTTTGCATCTAATTAAAAAAATATTCTGTAAGAAATAAACGAGCAACATGAGCTCTGTGAATATCAAGGGAGTGACCTTCCTTTGAAATTCTCAGCTCTGCTTTCACAGCCTCTTGTGAACACAAAGTGATTAAACCTTGATCTCTGAAATGTTAAACAGATAAAACAGAACTAAATTATTTCTTTTTTTCTTCTAATTTTCCGTTTTACTGGTGAAACCAATGACTGTGTCCTATCTTTACGTAACTTTATAAGTTATTGTGCAAGTTTCCTATCAGTGAACTTGGTATCAGAGAGAGTTTGATAAAAATAAAAAAAGGAAAGTCACCGTTCAGGCCAGTGAAGCCGACAGAGAAGTTGATTTCCTGCCCAGTGCTGGGGAGCGGTTCAGGAGGTTCGGTTTCCTGTCCGAGACTCTGCAAACAAGAACAAAATAAGACTATTTATGAGAATATCACTATTTCTGTACAGGGAACAACAATTTGTCAAATGTTTATGCTGATACAGTCACAAATTAATATTATGCACTGCAAAAACACTAAATCTTACCAAGTATTTTTGGTCCAGTTTGTAAAGCAAATATCTCAGTTCACTTGAAATGAGACAAAACTAACTTACAAATAACTTTTCAGCAAAATATATGAGCTTGTTTTAAGTCAATATTTCTTTAATATCGATGTTTAACTTATAACAAGACATTTTTCTCATGTTACAAGTTAAATAATCTGATAATGGATATTTCTTTAATATAAGTGATATTAAAGAAATATTGACTTAAAACAAGCCTCTATGTCTTGCTGAAAAGTTACTTGTATGTTAGTTTTGTCTCATTTATATATAAGATATTTGAACTAGAAACTAAAACAATACCTGGTAAGATTTTGTGTTTTTGCACAAAATTAGTGACTGTAATGGATCACGAAGATATAAAACTATGACATCAACATACATCTGCTAAAATATATAATACTACTGTAGGAGGCAGAGGAATGAAAAATATTAAAAATAAAGTGGACCAAGAATACAGCCTTGAGGAACCCCGTATGTGATTGTTTGCACACATTTGACTCTCAAGGTATTGCAACACACAGATTAAAAACATATGTGCCAAATGAATTAATCTTTCCTAATAAATTATAATTATGTATAATTAAATTTGCGTTAAAAATCTTTAGCATTTTTTTTACAGTAAGAAAGAAATCTAATAATTAAGTGATGATTTTGAAATCAATCGAATGAGTGGAAGACTAACTTGTACTCCACATTTGGAAAAGAAAGTTTATCCTTGATTTGATAGTAAACACATTCAATCTGAAACCTTCTCACTCTTTTCTTTTTCTACTTTATTTTCTTATGTCTTAGGACGGAAATGACATAAAAAATTGGCACATAAATCCAAGTGGAAATGAAACAGGAAGAAGTATTGGTGAAAGTTTTTCACCTGAGTGAGGAGGTCCATCTCCCCCAGCAGGTCGCTGAACATGGCGTCAATATCATCCATCTGAAACAAACAGCAACAAAAATTAAGCTCTAAGAGTATAGATTTGATTTGCTTTTACATAAACTGACATAGAAAACCAGCAATATGTAATTTAGTGCAACATAATGCAATCAAGAGCCAGAAAACACATAAAAGGTAAAACAATTAAAACTGAAACTCAGTTCTCTTTCGAATCAGATGATCTAATCACACGAAACCTGATGGTTGAAAGAGATAGACATGCAATTCAAAATAACTATAAGGCATGAAAAGGAAGCAACATTATGAAGAAAGATAAAAAATATTTAATTTTTGCTCATGCTGGCACTGTAGCACAGCTAGCCGCTACTGGAAATGAGAGAAGTTACCATTTAAAATGACCACACCAATGCTTCAGAAGTAACATAAAGGTTTGTGAAGAAGTTTGAAAACACAACTAAAATCTAGTCTTTGCATGTTGTTTTTGTTTACACACAAGCTAGCATCAGCACTGCAGCACAGCTAGCTGTACACAGAAGTTAGAATAGTAGCTTTAAAGTCACCATTCCATTATTTCAATGGTAATTTCTCATCGTTGGATTTTTTCTCATATGTAAGAGGAAAAAAAAGATTAAAATAACACAGATGGGACTGAGTGGCGCCAGCTTACTCCTGCTTATGGCGAATCCACCATTCATCCCACGACTCTGCGCTTCCCACTGCATATCAGTTTGTTTTCAAATTTTTACATATTTAGCTGAAATGAGGAGATAGATATTTATAAAAACGCTCAACTTTGATAAAGAGATTTAAAATTGTCTGCCATCAGCATGAGATAAGGAAGTCATACAGATATTGGAAATAAAGTGGGTCAAGAACAGAGCCTTGAGGAACCCCACATGTGACTGTTATAACTCACAAACTCAATGCGCTTTACTTATTTGCAACACTTTCCAGTTTCCCAAAGTAAAAACATTTATACAAAATGAAACAATCTTCCCTGAAAAATTACAATTAATTTAGATT